GGAAAGCACTGGCTGCTCTGAATTGAATCTCTGACCTGACAAAATCTATCGGCAAAAGTCAAATGTACCTGGGGGATATCGGAGCCTTCTAAACCTATAGGTCCATGACTACCTTGCAAAAAACAAAACAGACAACATCTCAACCCAATTTCACCAAAACAGATATGAGCAAAGCTGAATGACTGTGTTCTCTATTGAATTCTGCCCAAAATTCTACGTGTAAACTGATACCCTTAGGTAAGACTGATTCTGCCAAACACTGATGCCCTTAGGCCTGATACCCAGACTTGCAAACTGGTACACACAACCCTGTAGAGATACACTCTGACAGCAAATATCATGCAAGTGAGAGCCAAAACACCCCTATGGAGGGGTAGGGTTTCCCTATCCTATTTTGTCAGGAGCTAGGGCTTCACTACGCACGCAGCGGTTTCAAACAACCTACAACCGGATAAGCAACCTGTCCTAGTTTGGAATAGTCACTATGGATTCTGATACGCACTAGGTCGAATGGTCAAAAAGGGTGCCTCGGTAAAAATCAAGGTTTGTGTTCCCATCGTGGCAGAGCCCGTAACCGATCAACCTTATGGCACACAGCCTCAGGCTAACCGTTCAGGAATAGCAGACAGCGAACACGGTGCCTTAGAAGCACTGATGCAAATGCAATGCAAAGAAACACATAAGTGTAGTCAAAACAAGATATCATGAGTTCGAGTCAAGTTCTCTAAGTCCCCAGCAGAGTCGCCAGAAACTGTAGACGCGCTCCCAGGAACTCTCCGATATTCGCGCTCACGAGCGGCGTGAATCTTGTCTTGTTCTGAGCTACTACAGTTCGGACTCAATGTCACGGTTCTTAATCTAATCTCGCAAAGTGCAATGCAAGACCGATAAATCACCAAAGAGTCCAAATCTGACAAATCATTTTTGGAAAACTGATTTTAATAAAGAAGTGCCAAACATGGACTACTTTGCCAGATACAGAGTCGCCACCTAAATATTTTATTTTGGGGGAATTTAGGAAATCCTTACTCGTGCCTAAGGCCACGTGTCCCTCATCACCAAAGTTGTCTCGGCTCGGGAACTTGGGTACGAGAGGGGAAGGTCATGAAATGAGCACCCCCGCTCGCCCGATCAAAGATCGGCCTGTACTAAGCCTAATATCTTATTTTTGAAAACACATGTGTTCTCATTCCGATTAATTAGCTAATCTTACTACGTGATGCGCACAGCAAACAAGTATAGACTAGATCGCCTAATTTTGGAACAAAACATTGCATGTTTGTTTGAGAAAATGATTTGAAGTTTGCTACTCGCAAGTAGGCTAAATCGCAGATTTCAATGAATTGTTCCAATTCAAGCAATCCAACCTTCACCCACAGGCATTCAGGCAGTTATATCAAGTAAGCAGTTAGCCTCATGGCAAGCATGCTTTCATGGCAGTCAATAACACACATGCAGTATGCTAAAGCGTAAACACTCACAGTGTACTCCAAGCCAAAACAAAGAACTAGTTTGAAAATCATACATGATCCTAGTTCATGTTAAGATGGCTAATACGACACATGCGAGAATGCAACTAAAATAGGCTCGGCTATTCTAAGATGGCATGTGAAATGCAACTTGATAACATGTATTCAACTAAATGTATTGAAATACAATGTAGTTTGTATGATGCACCGGGTCCGATACATGCAAAACAGATGACTGGATGCACACATGCAAAGCATAAGGTATACTAATTGAAATATGCCCTAAAACTAACCATTGTAAGCGGTTAAGTAAAAAGGAGAAAGAAATGAGGGTTGGAAGACATGTATCACACACACGCATGCTTGTTACAACAATTGGCCCTCTCGATGGAGGGTTTGAATAAGAAGCTAACTAGCTAATATAAGCTAATTAAACTAATTATTACACAATGAAGATAATTAACTAATCCTAGTTAACTAACTATTACAAAACAATTAAGCAGCTAAACGCATTAACTACTTAAATACAGAACAAAGCATAAGCTAACTATCTAAGCATGGCAGCTAAGGAAAGCAATAAAGCAGGAGCCTCGAGGCGAGGAGTTTATACATGCTCAGTCGCTTCGTTCGGCAATCCAACGCGATGCCCCGATTTGCCTCTGTTTACAACTGTTCTCAGAAACTTGCACCAAGCTCCAGATAGCTTCTAACACATCTTGGGGACCTGTGGGAGAGTGACCGACCAGTTGTTGCTCTCTCCAGCCACTGGCCAACCACTTTTTGTTGTTGCAGGGCAGAAAAAGTGGTCGGCTAGCTAGTTTTTCTGGCTGGCTGACCAGTTGTTGCTGCATTCCTCCATTTTGCTGCAACAGAGAGCAAGAAAGGGCATGGCAATGTATTTGCAAGGTATGTGTGCACAACCACCCTCCCTATCATTTCATAAGCTCAAAGGAGTGTAGTTCAATACCCTCGGGCCACCAATCACGCATTTCAATGCATGATGGCCGAGAGGCGAAGTTGCACAATTCAATATGAAATGAATGCACAAATAAACACATAAGGCCTAAAACTTTATCATGTATGATCAAAAGGGTCGGCGACCGAGAATTAAGGCACGTTTCATCACTTTAAGTATGAAACGCCCTTCGTTTCCCATGTTTGGACTAACACCTATTCCAAACACAATGCAACACATAACATGGCATACATAATGCGACTCAAGCATGCAAACATGCAATGCAACAAAACAAGCATGCGAACAACATGGGAGGGACAAGCATGCAAACATGCAATACAATGTAACTTAGCATACTCAATGCTAATGGCATGCACAATGCACAATGCTAACTAGCATATACAATGCAAATGGCAACACAATATACACAATGCAATGAACATGGCGTACACAAATGCAATGAACAATATGGCATACTCAATGCAAATCAAGAGCATGGCATGCACAACGCAAACAATAACATAACATGCATGATGCGATGTAACATGGCATACATAATGCTCAATGGACTTAAACCGAATGTGGGTAGACCTCAGTCATGCCCAAATCAGTGGCCATAATGATGAAACAAAGGCACGAAAAGGCCAAGTAAACATGCACAAGTATTGGCCCATCAACTAGGCCTAAGAACACAACTCTTAAGGGTGCTCAAAGAGAGACAAAAGTGGAAGTGTGACAACACTAAGTGCACTGAAATAAGGTATGAAATGATGTCAAATCATTCAAACAAAGTAAGCATAGCATGCAAAGGTCCTTAAAGCATGAAGCTAGTAAAGAGGACTACAAAGGGAGCATGCAATACATGGCACAAGTACATGAAACAACCATGGACAGAGCTCAAGTAGGTCTAAACACGGACCAAAACATGCTAAGTTAGGGGCTCAAAGGCCTAGGCAAGATGGCATACATGATAGGCCATAAGTAAGGCAACAATGCACAACACTTAAAGGCATTCAAAGCATGAAAGAAGTGGGAACATGGTAATGCTATAAGCGCTAAAATGAAGTATTAAATGATGCCAAATCATCTAAATAGCTCAAAGATAGCATGCATGAGCCAACAAAACACAAAGCTAGCAAGGCCAATTGCACTACAACTATACAAAGCATGAAGGATATGGAAAAGGCAACCCAAAACAGTCTTAGAACATGTCAAAATGATACTAAAACATGCATGGAAGGAAGCCAAAACAAGCTAGCATGATGGGTATAAGGCATGATGCATACAAGGCAAATAAGGTGGATCACACATTGAAAGACTTAACCAACAAAAATCAGAGTTATATCATGGCAAGATAACCCCAAAAACACATTGAAATGATGGCTCACAAGCTAAGGCATGAAGGCATACGCAATGATTCATGTTAAGGCATAAAGGGGCAAACCCTCCAACGCATTGAATGAGTGATAAATGCAAGTGCATGACCATGAAAAATGGACTAAAATCACATAATAAATGATGCCAACTCATTCAAATAGGCCAAGCAACGCATGCTAGTGGACTTGATACACAAAGCTAACAAGCTAGATTGAACCATGGCTATACAAAGCAAGGCATGCATGACTAAAACAACCAAAATCAAAGCTAGAGCATGCTAAAACATGGACAAAAGCTGTATGAAGTTAAGCCAAAAGCATGCTAAAATAGTCTTAATCTGATTGTACATGTACAATTATATTATGTACAAAGAAACTCTCTCAAATTATATCTCTAAAGCCTCTCCCATTTCATATTAAAGAAGCATGGCATGCTTCTAGAATTTCATATAACAAAGCAAATATACTCTAGGCATTTCAAGCATTTGAGATATGTACATGTCATGCAATAGGAATACATAGGGTGTTACAATAACCCTCTTCTTCTCTTGTGAATTTGAGGCTTGGAAGACGGGTTTCATGCCCCTCCCCTATCTTCTTTCTTTTTCCCTTTCCCCTGCTCTCCTCTCTTTTCATCTTATGTTAATAGAAAGAAAAATCAACATATGATGAAAAGTAATAGAAAGAAAAATCAACATAGCTTATTTCCATGCTAATACTGTTTGAAAAATGAGGCCAAGAGTTTTGCTACACCAAATTCCATTTCAAATTATGATATTCTCCAACTTAGTCTGGAAGTTCAACTTTGTGGGGATCAGAGTTTCCAGACCGAAGACTGTACATGCGAAAAACCTTTGATAAATGATTAATTTAGTAGTTCAAAAAAAAAAAATGATTAATTTAGATACAATCTTCTCAGGCTCTTCTTTCTGATGGTCTGACACGACCATACAGTGTCTCCTATTTTTTTTTTTTTTTATGTATTTTCTTGTTTTGTTCCTCTCTTCAAACTCAAGTTGGTTAGTTTCTATCCTCCTTGAGTTTGCGGGGGGCTGTTAGAATTTACCATCACCTACCACCAATTTACCATCACCTACCACCACCTACTCCTCACCTACTACACTCACCCTCTCCTATATAATGAGCCACTCACCATTTGTAATATATATCAATCAACAATCAATCAATAATACCTCATTTTTAACAAATATAAATTTCAAGGCTAGTGAAACAGATAAGATCGCTTACAAAGTTGGAGAACTTGGTTATTTTGAAGGGGCTGAAGTCAACAGGAGCTCTGTCCAGAAAAAGTTCCACATAATGGAGCAAAAAGAGGCCACAGTCAAAAGAGTTTTCTTGCTGTGGTAGCTGAACCAAAATGAAATGAAAGTTAACAAACATTGATATTCATAAAACAAAGAGCAAATTACATCTTCACACACTCTACCCATGACTATTGGCCGGTTGTAACCCTATTCCAGTTTGGGGTTGTGCCAGTAACTCTAAAACTTATGATCTAAGCAAAATTAAGGGCATTCAGATGTCTCAGGAAAATTAAATCAGTATGTGTGTGAGCAATCATGGAATAAACTTTTATTGTATATTGGATTACTCAACCAAACATGGATTGCTAATTGGGGAAAAAATACATATTCACAGCTCATATAGATATGTCTCACTTACAAGTTTAAGGGAAATATTGTGATCTCAAATAAAAAGAAAAGAAATACTACTTATCCAAAAAGAGAAGAAGAAATACCTCAAGAGGGACAAACCGTAAATTCAAAAATTTTGAAGAAACATCTTCTAATAGTCGATTCTGCCTCTCTTTCCACTCTTCCCAAAGGTAACTGTCATGACATGATGAAGGAAGCAACTGTTACAATTAATTCTTGAAATCACAAAGAAGACACACAGGCTTTATTAAAAAAAATCTTATTTCATATGAATAACAATGATATAACACATGAAATTCAAACTTCTCAAGCAAGCAAATGAATTGTTAGATCGAGGTGGTTGGTGATTTGTTGAAGAGCCAGGCAAGAAGGGAAAGTCTACAGTAAGGATGGAATGACACTGAGGATGTCAACTCAACCAACTATGCCATATGGTTTAACCATCCAAGCAACACTTTCTTTCTATGAAATTTGAAGTTCATATCTGTACAATCTAAACATTATTATTTTTATTTGAGGCTAAAGGTCCTGTGTCCCAAACTAGTTACTGAAATCTTTGGCGAGTTCCTGCATTAGACATTGAAATACGGTAAAGAGGATTCAATTTATTGGCCATAAATGAAGAACAATAACAACAGGTCCATTACAAAATAATTCTTCTTGTTTAACTGATATAACCCCACACCATCAATTCCATAGATTATGAGAAATCATTATACATTCAAAATCAATTCAAGAAAGAGTAGTTTCATATTAAACTTACCTTTTGACTCCTCACAAATCTTGTTGATGTGATTTGAAATACAAGCCAAGTATACCTAATCCTGATGTAATTTTTCATGCTCGAAGAACGTATTTAATTTTTGTTCAATAAAAGGACAAAAAAAAAGAAAGATGTGATATTTTAATTATCAGTCAAATCCTTATACATCATGATTCATGGACTACATTTACAAAAAAAAAATGGAAAAGAAAAAAGAAGTGTCTTCATCCTAAAGGCCAAAATCAAAATCATGACCTCAACAATATTGCAATTTCTTGATGATTTAGAAAGCTGAGTTTTGGCCAGTAGAAAGTACTTGTGATGCATCATCAGTTTGTAGATAACAACTTGATAAAAAATTCCAGGTGGTAGTATCTCTCAAGTAGTTCAATGAATGTTAGACAACTGGTAAAAAGTTTTGAGATGGTCTGGCTGTTTCTACACAACTTTTAAAACTGACAGGAGGAAATCTTGGCACAATCCTGAATTGGTCCAGTAACAAGCACGGGGTACATTTTTTTTTTTCCTCTGATTATAAAGTAGACACCATGGAAATAATATGTGGGGGAGGAAGTGGAGATGGACCTGTTGACTGTAGGCCCCTTGCTCTGATTAGGCCCAGTGAAGGATCATTGGAAGAGGGTGAGATAAGGCAACTGTATAGAGATTGGAGGATGAAGCCCATAAGCTCTGTGTGGGAAATGATAAAAGATGGAGGCATTGATGGGGCGGGGGAAGGTTATTGTGTTGGATACAATACTGAGGGAAGCCTCCATTTTCTTCATAGATCAGGCAAGGGGGAAATAAAAATTAAGGCATTAGGAAAAAAGGCTTCACTAGCTTCTTTACAACAGACTAGGCATAGAGATAAGGAGGGCGAGTGCTCATGAACATAGCCCATAAACAAATTACCTTTGAATAAGATTCTTGAGGCCTCTGTGGCTTCCTTTAATAGAATCCATGTGCAAAATACATGGTACCTTCGACAATTTTTTGACATCTTCATCTGCAGAGTGGTTGCTGATATGAAGTGTAGAAAATCGCAATAATAATAAAAATAAAAATAAAAAAAAGTAAACAAAGAGCTACAATAAAAATTTTGCCTTCAATATTAGCCACATCCCCAGGAAAGCAAATGACAATCAAACTCCAGTGAAGACTGTAACCAAGATAAACCGTCCATATCAGAGCGTAATAACAAAAAAGAGCAATGTCCTGCATGTAAATTGCATAACTACTTTCTTACCTGAAGTTTACAGGAATAAAAATGTAATCTTTTTCAAAAAGATTCACCTTCCTTGTCCATTTATGGACACGTTGAAAAGCAGCCCTGCCTTTACAAGCTCTAGATGGACCTCTATCTAGATCAGCCAGCTTCCGAAAGAAAAAACTATTAAAAAAGTGGAACCTATTCTTTTCCTCGGGTTTGATTTTGTTCTTTAAATATCTGCCAATCAGTCAAATGTTGCAAATATTGCTTCAGCTAAAATGTTGAAATGAGCACAATCCAACCAGAATGAAATATAGTATCCAACCTGTATCAGTATGCAACACACATATTCAATGTTGTTATGCTTCAAACATGTAAAAAATCAGATGAGCTCGTACTTGATGAAATAAAAAAACCCATTAATATATGAAGATTCCTTATGAACAATTGAATCTCCATATCATTCTTAACATGGCCAATTTCCAAACTTGACCATATCATCCTTGTATAATTCTTCCCCTTAATCTATTCTATTATATAAAGCCTATGTTTCATTTGGTGCGAACGCCATCCCTTTTTTTCTCCAAGAATACCCTCTACGTCCAATAACTTTGACATCCAATAACTGTGTAATGGTTTTACTCATTACTGCCCAAAAATTTAAATGGAAAATATTCCTCCCTATACAATTTTAATTCAGAAAATTACATTACAATCATTTACAGATGACCGCACCATATCCCTAATTAAAATGGCAGTCACCTTTGTATGACTTCAAGTAAAAAACAACAACTAGCATTTTTAAAAGGTCATGGTAATTACAGCGCTATGGGCTGTCTCTAAGGTAGTGATAATGTCGAAATAATTAGAATCTCAATATATTTTCACATATTTCCAAACACTACACATTTCAATACACTTTTCACACATTTCTATACATTTTTTTACACATTCATCAACACTAGCATAAATACATTTCTATATATTTATTTATTTATTTTTGAGGGGGGGGATTCATCCGTTTAAGTAGTCGCATTCATAGTTGTAAAATCAATAATAGAATCGTGAATCAAAATTACCTTTTTCCAAATCATGAATCTAATCAAATTGTGAACACTAAAGATTCAGTTATATTTTCTAAAATACATAAGAAAATTATATCTAAACAATTAGATATTAAAATATTACAAATATGAAATTTTTTAGATATAAATTAATGAACAGTTTATTATTTTTAGATATAAATTAATGAACAGTTTGTTCTGAATGATGAGATGAGCACATGGTGTAAAACGAAAGATGCTTGTCTTCACGGACAAAAGCTGTGTTCTGAACCTCAACGCGATCTATGATCCTTTATTGCTTTATTGACTATGTTATGATTTATGAAAAGGCAATATCCACTTTACCCTCCCCTCACATTTAAAAATAGCACAAAACCCCTTAATTGTATTGCATTCTTTTTTTGTACCTTATTGCAGGTTTTCAATATATTTTGAGGCATGAAATTGTTAGAACAACATGTACGCAGTCAGGAAATATACAACGTCTTCAAGAAAACACCAATCATGCATGATCCCAAGAAGGCAAAATCCACAAGCTTGAATAAATTTGAACAGACTAAACAAAGACGAGGAATTCTGCATTCAAACTTACTTTATATAGAAGTCAATGATAGTATCATTTATGAATGTTTCTGGCCGTAACAGCTCAATGTCTCTCTTACTAATGGAAACAGCATCAGGATCTCCTTTAGGATAGACAACTTCCTCAAAGGAATCGTCAGGGCTGAATCAAGGCACATCATTAATCATTAATAAGATAATAAGGTTCAACACATCTAAGACAGTCTACAGATTGAAGAATATTAATGAGGATTGTGCAAATATGTATTAAGTATGAAAGAGTTGTATAATGAGGCACAACAAATACACAATTGTAATTTTCATAAAATTGAAATTAACTTGCAAGCTAGAATTGATGTTCCATGATAGAAAATTTTCAAGTTTTAATATTATCTTTCCTGGGATAAGCTATCATGTTAAAATTTATCCAAGGAACTTCAAAATGAAAAAATCCAAGCTTGGGAAATTACTAATGGTCAAACAAAAAAAAAATTAGGATACTCAGCCTAAAAAGTCTAAATCCCAACTACTTGCAATGGACACAAGGATTCTTATTCTCTGCTACATTCAATGTATAGCCAAATCCTCAAGTCCAGCGGGAAGGGGATTACACTGAAGTTGATATTATATTAGTGAAGATTCTTAACTTAATAAAAATTTCTTTTTGTTATTAGCTTGCTCTCTTGCTTTTGGCTTTATTCTTATGTATTACACAATACTAAAATTTATAAAAATATAATAATTTTTACAAACATATCCTAAATATAACCATATCTCACTTTTTAGGTTTTGTTGTATCGTCATATCCATATCTGTGTCACTCACACAAGTACAAAAATAATATAAATTTCCCATTTTGCCCTTCTTTTAAATTCATAAATAATATAAAAAGTACAATTATGACATTGATATTCTCAAAAAAGTGTACTATCAAAGGGTAATTTTGGAAAACCAACTTTTTAAAAGTATAATAATTGTACTACCAAAAAAAGTTGAATTCCCCAAAAGGGACCATTATTTTGGGACGGAGGGAGTAATAATTTTTACAAACATATCCTAAATATAACCATATCTCACTTTTTAGGTTTTGTTGTATCGTCATATCCATATCTGTGTCACTCACAACACTAAACTATGAAGTGGGATTCTACAAAATAAGATTTCATTCTTGAGTCCACGCAGTCTGAACTAAACAGGGGCAAGTGCAATCACGAGCAACATAAAGAATTGCAATGAAGTAAAATATATATATATATATACGAAAAATGAGAAACCACATTTGAAATCATGGCATAATTTGTTGACACAGAACTTTATGATGTATAAATGCATTGTGAAAATTCAATAAGCAACAGAATTTCTTTTATACAGGCATAATCGTCTATACAAGAATATGACTTGCTCTTACTTACGTGGAAAAGTAATGCTTCTCAAAGAATATGTTGTTGTTCCCTAGACAAGCACTTTCACTCCTTGTGTCAATACTGAATGAAAATACACAGAAAGCTGAGTGACAGAACATATAACAAAGATTTTAATTATCTTCACTGCTGATAATTAATGAGTGGAAAAGAAGAAAAGTACATAACAGTGGGAAAAAAAAAATTTAAAATTACACTAGACATGGAACCAAGAATTTTTATTACAAAGTAATGGAATCTTAGAATTTTGAGACAACCCCTTCTCTCTTCTCTCTAAGCGTTGACTTGGAAAGAAAAATGCACATGTAACACTCTAAATTTTTTTTTTCTCTCTTCACTCCATATTTATTTATAACATCATTTTATGGACAACATTCTTAAAAATAAAAATAAAAATTTAAAAACAAAAATGATGAATAAATCCAAATGTTTCACCAATATATTTGAAATATACATAAGAAAACTTACAAATTGTACTCGTAATATATATTATAAAAATTAATATACCTTATGTTATAATTTTAAAAACACTAATTGAAGCAGTGCAAATAATTTTAAAACATACACAATTTTATGTGATTAAACTAACATAACAAAACAAAAATCAATTAATTGTGGCCAATAATCATGTGTTTGCTATCAATGTACTGTCATGATCTCATATTAGCTCAATTTTCATGCAAGTCAAAACTGTCTAGTGCCAGTCACATTTGTGTCAACCACACGCAGATATCACTTGCACCAGCCCTATGTTACCTGCAACATTGATCATTTTGATACGTGGAACAAGAACAAGAATGCGGTGCACCACATGCTCTAAAATGTTGTACCATAGGGGGAGGCTTGTATAGGTTGTAGTAATAGTATTAAAGATGCTCCTAGATGAATTTTCTTTTAATGATTAGATATAAAATGTAGTACAATAATTTTAATTTACCATGTAAAACTAATTTTTAAAATTGACCATGTAAAAACATTTCTAGGAGTATTATAACCCATTTTTAGTTCATTATATTTCTGTCATACTTTTTTGATTTCCCCTCAAAACAAGCCCACATTCCTGATGGTTGTATCTGTCATCCATTTTCGCAAATGCATCTCGTGTGCACAATTGCTAGTGTAATTTAAAGCCCCAAACACCATTCATATGTATTGTATTTTTCCCTTTAAAAAATTAGCGAAAGTGGTCAAACTGACTATTAATCAGAACAATCCTCAAAGAGGTATTGCATACAAGGGAACCCAGTGCATGAGATTATTGTAAACCCAAAATTGCCTTTGCACCTAAGCGCTTGTCTTAGTCAATTCTAGCAATTTGTCAACACAAAATCCATTACCAATCTCATTGAAAACCCAAAGCATCATTCAACTATTAAATGCAACACTAGTTGATTCCAATACAAACTGCTAAGCTATTTAGTTGGCTGAGAGAGATAAAGAGGAAACAAGGTGGCACAACTATGCCTTCTACGATAGGAAATTATAACCTAATTTAAATTAAGCAACATACTCAGAAACGAGATTCCATTTGGCTTTGTATCTCACATCCAGTGATTTGATTGCTTCCTCCCTTTCAGACCAATTGGGATCAAAAACTGCGAACCTCAACTCTGCAATGCCTGCATGTCAATTACAAAAGTCATTTAATTTTTGTTAGTTCCGAAAGTGCAATTTTGCCTAATTCCAACTCTTTCAATTGATTTTTTTATTTTTTTGTTGATCAGCCCTACACTTTTCACCTCTCTTGCATTCTACAATCGGAGAACAAGCACAAAGCAGGAACTTTCCACAATGAAGGTACGTTCATTTGGAAGAAGAAGAAGGATGAGGGAACAAGGTTCATGAAGGCCTCTGAAGGAGCCTCTGTCAAGTCTCATCATTTATTTGGAGGCACAATCCTTCCATTTTTTTAGATCACCTATTATCCCAAAAGCTTAAGCTATTAGAAATAGGCCCAAAAATGATTATCAAACTAATATCATAACCTGCCTTGTGTGCAAACGTGTCTTGTACATGGTGAAGCAACCAGACAAACAGTTCAAACAAACTAACCAAAACGCTATATGAATGAGATTCAGTTCAAACAAGGGCCGGCAAAATGGAAACCCATCACTCCACAATGAAATCTTTGTTCCATTAATATGTTCAGATGTGAAATAATGGGAATTCTTGCGTCAGGAGCTTCCACTAACAAATATTTGTTTCCCAACCTTCTCCTTTGCAGTCCGATAGATTTAAATGATCGAATGCTTATGATGAAAATCTGAGCGCAAGAGGGAATTTTAAAACAGAGGAAAGCTCCACAATCATTTTGCTAAAAAGGCCTTATTTCTATACATCGCATTATCCTTGACCCGATCTCATACTTCAAGCTACACCTGATACTTCTTCAAAGCTTCTGTATTTATGTAGTCACAATCTCAATAATCCTTAATAGTACAAGAGGTGAGATGCTAAAAACTTGATTGGACACTAACTCTTTTCCAATTTCTTCAGTTCAATCATCTTTTCAATTCATCACATCGCAAACATCATGTATCTAGCATATTTACCAAAAGAAGGTCCCCTAAAGAGGTAGTCCATTCACACAGTAATGCCATAGTTCATACAAGTTCTTGTTGAGGAGGAGGGGGCAGGCATTTGCAGATGTGGGTTTCAGTAAATAAGACGGAATGAAATTTTCAAAACCTCTCACATTCATCAAAGTAATGAAAGTACTTCCTAGTTCTTCTGCATCCCTCTTGGAAAAGGAAAAAAGAAAGAAAAGGCATAACCATAACACATAAGAGCACCTTCCACAATCCACACACGCCATTTAGGAAACTCAATAAACAGATACTATTAATCCCAACATAAATCTCATAAGGAAAGCACAAATCCCAGATGTCACATGCAAACCTTTTTCTTTTCAGAGTGATAGGTAATTAATGGCACCACATCCAACTAATGTTGATGTGAAAATGATGTAGGACGAGTAGGGATTACTTTCCTACAAGTAGTGAGCCCAGTTTAAGTATACTGGCAGCAGCAACAATAGACTTGTAGGGCTAGGTTTGGTGGGATTTTGTGGCTGCAAAAGTATTTAAAAAATAGGAGTTTAAGGGTTTGTAAAAAGGTAGGGTTTTGGGAATGAAAACACAAGTGTTTAGGGACAGTTGGGTGGTTGTTCTAAGCACTGTGAACAGTGACGTGAACAGTAGTGTTACTGGATAGAAGAAGAAGAGCAAGAGAGAGAAGTACTTCACCCTTGCAAGGGATAAGCCAATCACACAAACACAATCTCAAATTTTCATAATATTAACTCTCCTATTGAATCATTGAGATTACACATATATTTATAGGCTAAAGACTCTCCTAATTCTAGAATCATTGAGATTACACATATATTTATAGGCTAAAGACTCTCCTAATTCTATAAGGACTATTTCTCAAATTTAAAAACTAAAAATATTTAGCAACTACTAATATTCTAGACCAATTATGACTTCCAATTCTACTTCAATCATAATAGAAAACTTTAATGACTTTTAATTCTACTTCAATATCAAAAAAGAAAATTTGGACTTTTGAATACTAAGATTATTTTAGACATAGTAAAACCCATATATAATAACCCATTTAATAGCTTAACCCAAAATAAAACCCATGGGTGACCCCTACAACCCATGTCCAACAATTATTGAAATTACCATTATACCCTTAATTACTAAAACCTACTATAATGACATGAAGACTCAAAATTATTCCAAATCTTTAATTCTTGATACCCTAAATGTGCTTCATGTGAAATTCTAGATTTGCTCTTTTTCTTCTTTCCATGATCTTCATCAGAAAACCTTGTAATATCAAAAACAAAAATTATGCAGACATAGCAAGAAAGAAGATTGTGGAGCCAACTAGGCATTTTTAATGCCATATATGTTAATTTCAAGACAAATGAGAGATTAATTCATTTTATAGACCAAACAAATAGAGTCAGCAAACGTTTTATGGAAATACACAAACCTGAACTCGTATTAGTATTTTCAGCTGCTTTCATATCCTTTGATTTTAGATGGAGTTTCACAACAGCTGTTTCAACCTAAAGTTGGCAATAGAAGGAACTTAGAATTATTCACCCTCTCCACTCCAATGTACCCAGAAAAAAGAAAACAGAAAAAGAGAGTTACATAAGGGAAGACAATTGTAACTCACCTGTCCACACCATTGCGATTCAATGTTGATGATATCACCTACTGTCCATTTAAAGCTAAATGGTACCTTGATTCCACATGCAGATGAACCCTCCACTTTAATGTAGCAGCAGGAAAAAGTTAACTGAGATTCATTAATGTGCATATCCCCATATATGATATAATCAGGGGAAACAACAACAGTAGTGTCCTGCAAAATCAAAACAAGAAGGGAAAAGTGAAATGAACGAAGAACAGATACAACAATTTGAAGCAAAAAAAAAGAGTCTAAAGAAGCATGCAGCAAGCAATTTTCTGCAAAAGTAACTGTGTTAAAACGAGTATTATCCTTTGGAAAAAAACACCAATAGTCCTGTCTCCATCCTTGAGCCACAAATGTCTCAAATTTTGTTTCCAACTGATCCCCTCCATCTTTGCAATCTTCCTAAACTCCTCCCTCAAGAGAGATCTAGCCAAGACTTCTTCCGCTGACGGCCCATCGGCCCCCTATCTCTCATCCAACATCTGAATTGTGGCCAAAATATCTGCCTTATGAACACCCACAGGCCCAAACTCCTCTCTATTTCATCTCTTAAGATCCTCCTTCAGATTTCTTGGCCGATAGGTCTGGTTCAGGGGTCGGATTGGGTTGATTTTACGGCCACCATACCCAAACCACAACCTCGGTTTACAAAACATCTCATCTAATCTTGACTGACCAATGGTTCAAAACCAATTGCTTTGGGTGGTAGAAACACACATCAGACTTCAGTCAGTGAAGCAAAGCAAAGCGTTACAAGGGATGAGGGAGATCAGAGGGTTACAGAGGGAACAAGGGAGAGAAGAAAGGAATTAAACCACCAATTATCCCAAAACTATCACTTTGGAAATACGACGGCATTTAGACTAAATGGCGGCCTGGGGGAATCTAGAGGCCTTTGGGTAGCCTACAAAACTATCACCAAGGAACGACGACGGTGTTAAGACACCAATTATCCCAAAAGCTTAAATTGTTAGGAAATGAGCCCAACAATGTATATCAAGCTATCCAACACCCTCCCTCATGTGCAACTCCATTTTGCATAGAGACGAAACATTCATACATAGAGAAGTAAGAATAAACACAAGAGAAGTAAGAATGCAAACGGGCAGGAAATGCAAATGGAGAGGAACCTAAGACCTCCTCAACCTAAGCTCTAATAGCATATTAAGTAACCAATTATCCTGAAATATTAAGTGTTAGGAAATGGGAGCAACAATGCATATCAAACTGTCCAACAAACGGTTCCCATAGCAACGAACAACTTTGGAGAAGAAATGAGTTGAAGACAAAGGGGACATAACTTACCTTCGTCTGTAGTCTTGAAACTCCACACTCTTCCCAAATGAGCTTCTCTATATCCCTTCCTTAAAGCCTACCTCAAAATTAGGCCTATTTAGAATCGAGCCCTCAACCTCAAAAGGCTGCTTTACTATAGCCACGCCTCCATCCAAATGCAACAAAGCTTCCTTTGCCTCACAACCCACTTCAAAATAGTCCACAAGACCATTAGACTGCCTAACAACAGAGAACGATTTGGGCTTCCACATAGATTTGCTATTATGAGGCCTCTCCTTACTAGGCTGAAGCATCTTTCACATAAATCTAGGCACCGGTCCACAAGCCTTTTGAGCATGTCCAGACCCAGCAAAAAATGGATCACAGGTCAAATTATGAAGAGACTTGCTACATGGTCATTTTCCCACCATACTCCGCCAGCCAAAGACAATTGCTTTCCACAGCTTTTTGAAATTCAAATCCTTGCCCTTAGCCACACCACGTGTCAACCGAACCCTCTATCCCCACACCTCCCTTGGATGGCTTAGCTTCTTAGTTTCTCTATGCCATATTGAATTCTTGATACTTTCATACTTCGAATGTTAGAAGACATGTGGTTTTCAAATGAGAAACTACAAGGCCTACAAATTTTCAACATAGAAAGGGGAAATCGCATCTTTTAAGCTAGAGTGTCACCTAAGAAAAGGATTCCTAAAACTTGAGTGGAAGCAGATTATACTCTATTCCTATGCACAAAGTTCAGATTCAAGCATCATAAACCATGTCAAAGGAAATCATTTGCATCATAAACTAAAACTGTAATGGATGGCAGGTAAGCTGCTTTTTCAAATAGGTTTACAATATCAAAGTCATAGTAACCACTATAATTAAAATCAAGTATGACCATCGGGCCCTCCATACCAGCTGGTTGTGGGCTGTTAGGAAAGCTTTGCCATTAAAACTATCTCAATTGATTCCAAAAAGTAACTAGGTGTTAAAATTTACCTACCTACACCTACCACCACCTACTACCACACCTACTACACCTACCACCAATTTACCTTCACCTACTCCTCACCTACTACCCAAATCCTCTTCTATATAATAGGAATCCTTGTAATATCAATAATATAACATCAATGTACATCAATCAATAATAAGATCATCAGATACATTTATTCTCTCTGTATTTTTCTCTTTATACATTGATTTTCTACACTAGGCATTTAGACTAAATGGGTCTAGGGGAATCTAGAGGCCTTTGGGTAGCCTACTGTCAATATGCCATTCCCGCCTCCAAATCCTTTTTTCCCTGACTTTAGAGTATGGTCTTCCAAGAAAATTGTGGAGATGATCGTTTCATGTCAATAAAATTTAGGAAGATAACAACGAGTACGAGTTATGCACATCCCATGCTATGGTGTCACCACCATCTTTAGGATTTTCCACTTCACTAGTTCTGCTTCGAGATATTCCTAAATATAGCAAGAGTAGTGATATCAAGACTTTTATGTCATTGACAAATTATTAGTACCAACACTCTCAGACTTCAAAGAAGACTTCATGTGGAGATGTCCATAAAACTATTTTTATAGGAGCTCTAAGGAAAGTAAGCACTGATTGTGGATATCTGTCAAAATAATGCTGTTTCTTTCAAAATCCTTCTAGAAAAAAGGCTTTGTTCATAGGCAGACTTCTTGTTACACTATGCCTGTACTTTTCAGCAAGTACATATATATATATATATTTCTTTTTCCATTTTCAAAAGGAGGAAATTTTCTGGCACCAATTCTTCCTAATTTGCCATAAAAAGGTGTCAAACAAAATTGATTAATTGAACAAAGAAGGGGAGGTAATATGCTTACAATGAAACATCCACCAAAACGATGCTCCAGTAATTGTTCCTCAAGTGGACCTAGAATTAAGCAGTAAGGTCAACGTAAGATCAATAAAAAAAAATTCATAAATGTCTGTATGTGTTTGAATTACAAAAAGGAACATGCGGAAACAAGCTACACAGAATCTCAAAACAAAGAAAAAACTATACTAAATCACGAAGCTGGCCAATGCTCTCCAATATCACAAGAGACAACAAATCCAATAGTTTAGTGTTGGGTAATGCTCCCCATAACCAACTGTACAAGATACTTAAAATCCACTTTTAAACTTGTACAAAAGCTCCTCCACTTCATCAAAATATCTACCCTCCCCCATATAATCCACATGACATATAAAGAGACCACAAGAAGATTTCATCCTCATTTTCCCAACTCTACCAACCCTCCAACTATGTATAAGATCAACCATACCACAAGAGGGATTCCAAGATACCCCCAAAACAACCAAAGTCATAACCCACAAAGTCAATTGTAGACTATTTCTCCATCCTTCTTGCACATACAATACCTTTTGACCATAACAAGTCTTCTACAAATCAAATTACTCACAAGAAGAATTAGACCGGAGTCACCTTAGAAGGCACATTTAAGCTCTAAATCTCTCTCCCAAGGAAAAGATGATGCTAGCCTACCCAGCAAAGCACTAATAAAATATGACTAGTGCTCTAAGAAGCATAGACATAGACACGGACATGGACATAGACACAGACAAGGACACAGACATGTGACGTGACATGATATGACGTGACACTGGCACAATGACACGTATGTAGGACACGTGCAAAAATCTATTTTTATTAATTAAAAATATATTTATTTACATGTCATATATAAAAAATAAGCACTTATTGTGGGTGCTTGGGAAGTGGGTTTTTACGTAGATTTTTTTAGTTGTAGGATATTATTGGAGAAAAAAAATTATGTGTTTGGGAAGATAGTTGGGTTTTTTTGTGGTTGGATGTAATATTTGTGAGAGAAAAGTGAAATGATTATGGGGTTGGATATGATATTTTGTTTGGATGTGTTTTTTTTGGTTTTGCAAAAAGTTTGTCTTTTAGTGGAAAAAATAAAAAAAAAAACCCTAAACCCAAACTTCCCAAACACCCCCATTATATGTCATGTATAATACTATTTAATTCAAAGACAATAACAAAATGCTATCTAACACGAATTTCTAAACTCTAAAGAATAGATATAAATACATAATTTTTCTTTTGTCATTGGAATTCAAGTTATTTTATTCAAACTTGTATTGTATTTCATGTGTGTCTAAGCGATGTGCACGTGTTATTGAAGTGTCTAAAGTGTGTCTGAATCTAGAAAATTTTTAAAAAATAGTGGGACAAATTTTAAGGTGTGTTTGACGAGGGTCGAGAAGCATCTTGTAAGTGTGGAAGCACAATACGCTACCTTCTTAGAAGTGTCTATATTTCTTTGGTAGTGCTATACAAACAAAAACATTGTACAAAATTATTACACATAATGATGCCTCTTATTTAATGGTTTCATTTAAAAACATTTTGCCATCAATATAAACATAATTTACATGTTTGCCACTTCCACATCATTCTGAAAGTAAATTTTGTATAAAATATATTGTATCTATCATTTACCATAAAATATTTCAATTCAAAGCATCCCGACCTCAACTTCTTCTCCCTCATGATACCCTCTCTGACTCTTAAACCAATCATGCCATACAACTTCTAAAAAAAAGAGCCATTATCTATTCAAACTCCCAATCCTAAAATTTCCTTCTAAAGATGTATCCCGACTGGTTCCTGTTAACAATGAGATAATTAACCATTTGAAGACAAACCCAAAAAAGTCAGGACATGTGGTCTCCAAAACCTCACCCTTTCTACCCACCCTACAATCTACTATGTCTCCAAAACTCATCCCACCCATTTTAAATTTCTTACCATAAGGCATAGAGTCCTCCATCAGTAACCAGTGACCACAGCCCCACAAACTGCCATATTTGTAATCACACCCTCCAAAATCTATCCCACTCAAAGCCATATCTTCAGAGCCATTTACATACAAGATCTCAGTCGAAATCTTTTAATACCCAGCCCTTCCTGTCTAATTGGTGATTGTATCATGTTTCATTATATTAAGATATAATTATCATGTTACTAAGAACAAAATGAATTTAAAATAACATAAAAGAGAAAGGAGTGATAATTAATAAAGGAACTATAAAAATAAATAAATAAAACCTTCATTTTCTGCAAGATCACAAGCAGAAGTTGATGAACTCAATTCAATGCCATCATCATCATCTGAATTTATAGTAACTGGCCCATTCTGCAAGCATTTCAGATTAAAAAGTACTGAGAATATTCAAAATAAATATCTAGATTGCTTGGACAATGAGTAAGATAAAGGAGTCAGATACATCAGACAGAAGCCGAGATAGAGTACTGTCTAAATGTCTGCTGCCAGTAGAAGTGACTCCATGGTTTAGGGTTCTTGCTGTGTAGGAGTTCGATCCAGAAAAAGAGCACCAGGGATCAAGATAATTAGGATGAGCATCCGACACAGATATCACCTCATTGACAGCATCATCACAAGCATCAACATCTAATATTTCATTGTTGAAGTCCTTTTGTTTAGTCTTGGCTCCTTTTGCAACTACAAAGAAATTGTAGAGAAGGAGGTTACAAATTCAATATTGCTACATTCCAAAAAAAGTAAGTACTGAATCTAATGATATTAGATCTAGGAACAAACAAACAAATCAAAAATTAAAAAGAGAGAAAGATGTTAAAGAAAAATAGATTTTTGAGGGAAAAAAGGCAATTACTATTCAAAAGCTCAGAATAAAATAATGTTCATATTTCTTTCATCATTATTGTCATTAATATGATTCCATGTTACGGTCATCAGATACAAGCCTCCAAAGGGCTCTAGAGCTCATTCAAACTCTTGAAAATCAGCAATACATTCATGCTGTCAAAAACCTAACCCAACCAATGGACACATTTCAAATGCACTTCAAACAACATAGATGCAACCTGAATCACACTTTATGAATTATATAACTGTTGTGATTACCACAGTAGGCCAGAAGAGAATGCATCTCTTTGTGGTCATTGTACCATCAAAAGTGCACAAAGCCATTAGCAGCATTGGTGCAGTCAACTTACTGTAATGCGTACACGAATTTGAACTAATTTTTTAAGAACATAACTACTATCAAGCATAATCCATTTTGTTGAAATAAGTATTAAGCAAGTATGCTGCATACATCCTTATCCATGCAGATCAAATAATTGGAACAAAAATCAAAAGCATCTCCATTCCAGACACTTGCAGACCTACTTCTGTTCAGTGCCAGCTTTGGGCACAAGCAACACAAGCGGTCGCTTTGGGCCCCCAAAAATTGGTGGAAAAAAAGACCCAAAAAATTGAAAAAATATCAAATAAGCCTTATTTTTTTGTTATTATACTCGCTAAAAGCGGCCCCTGAAAAAACAAAAAAATTATTGATATGGTGAATTATTTAAAACTAATTGATGGTTGTTTTTCAAATATATGAATTGTATATAGAATATTATTGATTATAGTTATTACTTACAATTATTTATGAGAGAAAGAAACATTTCAAATTTGAAATCGATTATATCATACATTTAGTGAAGTATGTCACAAGAAAAATTGAATGATTTTGGTTGATAAGTTGATTAAAACAAACATGATTAGTAATTTTACAGTTAAAAATGTGATGGTTCAAAAAAGTTAAATTACCAACTAGTTCAATTTTGCCCAAAAATGATTCAAATATCGGTTCATATTAGAACTTTGAGCCATTTATGTATATATATATATAAACCTCATATTAGAAGCTTGCTTTGGGCCCCGGAAAAGGCAAAGTCGGCCCTGCTTCTATTAAATAATACTCATAGATTAGAAACCCTAAATATCAACTTGATATTAATGTCATTAACCACATTCAAAAAATAATAATAATAATAATAACAAGACCAAAGAATACACATCTCATAACATATCAAAGTAATTATTCACCCAAAGGATAATATCTTCTAGAATAGTCAATTGAAAATTTTATTTAAAGAACAAAAAAAGGCTCCTAAGGCTGATAATGTCAGACATCAATACAACTTTTTAAATTTTAATTTCCTTTTACACCTTTGGCACCATTGATACTATCCTTTCAAGTTGAACCAACATTTTCCTGTACAGTAATTAATTGCACTCATGTAATCACTCCTGACAAGCACACAAATGGCCAGCATACTGTATATTACATCTAGTAATTCATTGATTGAGTGAAGTACAGAAATAAACCTCAGAGTACCTAGCAAATTTATTAAAAACAAGACAGACTTAGATAGAGAAACAATAAAATCACTAACTGTAGAACGGGGAAAACATTTTAATCATATATCTTAAAATGAAAAAATATCACAATCCCTTATGGGAAAATACACTACATCCAGTGCACTCAATCTACTATTAATGTTCACAAACCCTGTTGATGATAACAGAAATGCATTCCACTGATTCACCTCATATTTTCTTGTATGTTTAATGTCTTCCTCTAATATGTGCCCTTCACTTTGCCCATAATTTGTCCCTTGACCCAGTTCATATTTCTTCTCTTTTAGTTCAAACTTCATCCCTTTGCCAATTTTTCTTCTTCTTCTTCTTTTATTATTTATTTTTAATGTATTATCTGATTTTTCCTATTCACCGAAGTGGGAGGTAATGATGAATGATCAGACAATCCATAAGAACCACAGTGCAATAAAAATTGAATCCATAAAGACAAACTTAATGACAACAAAATCAACCCAAAACTCAACCAAAAACTAATGATATACTTCGATCTTGGAATTGTAAAGGGGAAGGGGCATGAAATTACTTGTACATATTTTCTTTGTGGGTGATCAAACAAAACAAAAATAAATAAATATATGACAAAACCTATTCAATTTCTTCTCATTCTTCTTAATCCAACCAAACACAAAAATAAAATTAGCTTCTTACACTCCATGTTCTTTTCCAAATTTTTTCCTTCACAAATCCAACATCCAAACATAATTTACACACACAATATATAATATATAGAGGGAACTGCATGCAGGTGGGAGTTGAGAAAAAAATTTACGAACACATGGGGTTGCACGTGTGTCTATGGTGGGGTGCAAATGAAAGGCTCTGTGGGTGCAAGTGTTGCAGCCCTCCATATGTTGGTAATTTTTTTCCTTAACTCCCACCTTCATGTACTTCCCCCTTTTTTTTTTTTTGATCAGCAAAGAAAAATTTCATTAATCAACATGAAATTAAAGGTACAGGAAGATGAAATGCACTGAGAGAGATTCAGACAGTACAAAGTACCCCTACTACTGCTTACTTCCCCCTAATATATATATACACAAACACACAATATAAATGGGTATATAAATACAAACATATAAAGAGATTCTACAATACATAACCCCATAAGGATATATCATATGCAAATAATGACACTTTATAGTGTTAATACCACTTTCAGTCATAATCAATGGGATCACAATAGATCATATTCATAACCAAACACCACTTGAGCCATAAATCAAAACCACCAAATGGGTCAAAAAAACTAACTCATAACCAACTTCAAAACCAACACTACAGTGGGTTACAAAGACCACAAAAATCATAACTAGGCATATGGTACTCCCATTTGTGGGTGTGTATTATATAATTTCTCATATATATATATATATATATAGAACATAATTAGGGTTTTGAAGAGGCATACAGCATTGGAGGAATTTGTATTTGTTGACAGGGGAAGAATCGGAGTTATGGATTTTGAATTTCTGAGACATCGTCTTGGAGGCGATCTCGACCTGCTCTTCTGCTTTGCTGAATTCAAAGATTTCGAATGGATTGCTTGAACTTCTCGCCCTAATCCAAACATAACTTACACACACAATATATAATATATAGAGGGAACTGCATGCAGGTGGGAGTTGAGAAAAAAATTTACAAACACATGGGGTTGCACGTGTGTCTATGGTGGGGTGCAAATGAAAAGCTCTGTGGGTGCAAGTGTTGCAGCCCTCCATATGTTGGTAATTTTTTTCCTTAACTCCCACCTTCATGTACTTCCCCCTAATATATATATACACAAACACACAATATAAATGGGTATATAAATACATACATATAGAGAGATTCTACAATACATAACCCCATAAAGGATATATCATATGCAAACAATGACACTTTCACTTTATAGTGTTAATACCACTTTCAGTCATAATCAATGGGATCACAATAGATCATATTCATAACCAAACACCACTTGAGCCATAAATCAAAACCACCAAATGGGTCAAAAAAACTAACTCATAACCAACTTCAAAACCAACACTACAGTGGGTTACAAAGACCACAAAAATCATAACTAGGCATATGGTACTCCCATTTGTGGGTGTGCATTATATAATTTCTCATGTATATATATATATATATAGAACATAATTAGGGTTTTGAAGAGGCATACAGCATTGGAGGAATTTGTATTTGTTGACAGGGGAAGAATCGGAGTTATGGATTTTGAATTTCTGAGACATCGTCTTGGAGGCGATCTCGACCTGCTCTTCTGCTTTGCTGAATTCAAAGATTTCGAATGGATTGCTTGAACTTCTCGCCCTACTCCTCGTCTTCATTCTCGACAACAATAACGATGATCATACGCCCATGAGTCTCTGAGAAAATCAACAATTTGAATTGCTTTTGTGGTGTGGTGTGTGTGGTGTGGTGAGGAAGGAAGAACTCTTGTTTGGTTTGTATCTATTTTATAAAAATTGAGTTTTTTTTTTTTCTGTATTTTTGTAATATTTGAAATATTTTTTTTATTTTTAAATGCACCTAAAATAAATATACTTTAAAAATAGGGGTATTTTTTTTAAAGTCCCTGATATTATGATTTTATAGTATAAAGGACATCAATTATTTTCATGATGTCTAAGGTCCCTCAACATCAATCCAGAGAAATTTCAGTCCAGAGAAAATTCAACCAGAGAAATTTCATCCAGAGAAATTCTCTGGTCCAAACCAGAGAAAATTCAATTCAAATAAATTCAATTCTGTCTAAAATTTACCTGCAAACCCATCAAGATGATTTGGTTTGCCAAGTTGGGTATTAGGACAGATGATTTCTCTCACCTATCATTCTTAGATTGGATCAACCATATTCTCACTCCATCCTTGATATTTCGAGTTTCTCCTTCAAGCAAGTCAGATTTTGTGCTTTTTGCAGTAATTCTCATGGAAAAAACTTGGCTTTGGAGAAACAGAGCCATCTTTTGCTGTCCAAAGGTTGAACCAGAGAAATTTCAAAATTTCCCTAGACACGTGAGAAGTTTCAAAATTTCTCTGGACTCCCCAAACCCAAAGAAATTTTCAGACAAACATTTCCAGAGATTCTCCCATCCAGAGAATTTCTCTGGACTCCACAACCCAGAGAAAATTCCCAGCCAAAGAAATTTCTTAATTGAAAAACGGATCTGTGCTTCAAGAGATGACTGCAATTTCTTCTTCATCCACCTTCAGATTTACTCACAGGGCGTGCTAGCACAACAAGTGGTCCTGATCCTTTCATAGGCAAGCTTGGCCTAGCTAAACTGCTCAAACTTGAAGACTGATTCGATGAGGACGTGTCAATTGACTTCTCAATATTAGAACCAGAATTAACATCTGAGAAATCATCAAGAAAAATAAAAAGTATGACTGGAGTACACTGTCCTGGAAAACAAAGAGGTATATGAACCTAAACCCCACATAAATGATATTGCTGAAGCATTGCGACTCAAGATACCATTATTTCTATCTGGAGAATGATTGTTAGACATTGTTCCCAATATAGAAGTTCGTGATGATGAAGATGAATGATGAGATCTAGATGTGGATGAAGGTGTCGTTTGTGATCTTGCGAATGGAGCCATTGCATGCTTGGCAGCTTGTAAAATTCGCAATTTCTTCAAGATCTGGGTATCAAAGCGTGGCTGCCCAGCGACCTGTTAAAGAGAGAGAGAGAGTAGAGCAGAGTCAAAAGAGTCAAATTTCTCTGATATATGTTTAGGGACCTTAGACATCAAAAAATAATTTTGTGGATCTCTTCCATTATGAAAAGTGGGAGAGGGACCTTAGACCAATTTTCCCTTAAAAATATAACATTTATAAAAATAATATATTTTCATATTTTTGTATATTTATTGATTTTTTAAAATATTTTTTATATACATTTAGGTTAAATATATATACATAAAATATTAAAAAACATATAATTCAATTTTTTTTTAAATTGAGGAAAAATATTATAGATTTCAAATAACCTATCAAATTTTTTACCAAAATTTTCATATTATGTAGATCTACAGAAATCAACGTATGTATGAATCTCACGTTTATATAAAAAATTTGATAAATTGTTTAAGATACTCAAATTTGAGTGGTATTTCCAAAGTGGCAATTCTATGATATACGTACGCAACTAATTATGAGGCTAGTCAGCGATTAATAACCACTCATAAATGTCATACCATAATTTCAAGTGTCATAAATAAAAGTAAAAAGGTAATGTTATATACATCAATTAATATATTAATTAATGTATATTAATATTAATTAATAGTGTAATATAATTTAAAAAAAAATTAGTATTTATATTTTGTATAATGAGTGAAGTCAATAATAATGACATAATTAATGTTGATACACTAGTTAGCACACTAATAGGTATACGTAGCATCACCGCATAATTTAAAATGTTTTAATATTTATAATTTGTATAATAAGTGAAATTAATAATAATATCATAACTATTATTGATACACTAATTAATCCATGAAGTCAAAATAAAATAGTTATAAGTAAAATATTAAGGGGTCATTTAAAATTTGTTTATTTAGTGATTTTTTTATTTTTTTTTAAAAAATAGACTTAAAAATAGGAAAATAATGTGACAATTTATAACAAATAACAAAATTTAAATTATAATTAAAATCATATCATAATTAAATGCCTTATTTGTCATAATTTAAAAAAATTAAAAAGTCAAAAAATCGTTATTCTATTTAAGTCATATCACCTCTCTATTATATCACTTCAAATCCAATCTATACACAACTCATATTTCATAAAAAATTCAAAAATACATTTATTTAAATCATCTCAAACAACTCAAAAATGCCTACGTACCATACATAAAGAGAAGAAATTTTATTCAGCAGTGTCGTAAGCAATACATGGTGCTTCATGAAGTTATTAGAACCGTCGCATCACATTATTTTGATTTTCTGAAATTATTTTTTAATTTTTTTAAAAAATAAAAATTAATTTGACAAAAATAAATGTTAAAAATATACTTTTAAATTTTTAAAATTAATTTTCCCAACTACAAAACAAAAGTATATAAGTTGATAGTGCTTTATATTTTTTACTAAATTAATATTTAAATATTTAAATTTTGTTTAGTGAAATTAACTTTTAATTATTTCATCAAACTTGAATTAATTTTTTTTTTCATAAAATCAAGATTAAAAAAAAATCATCATATTTGATGAAATTTTGAAATAAATTTGGAATTTTTTAAAAGAATTTTATGGAATTTTTAAAGCTCAATATATAAGAAAATGCTATAGATCCCAAATAAATTACCACATAAATTACCAAACCTAAAGTATATAAGTTGATAGTGCTTTATATTTTTTACTAAATTAATATTTAAATATTTAAATTTTGTTTAGTGAAATTAACTTTTAATTATTTCATCAAACTTGAATTAATTTTTTTTTTCATAAAATCAAGATTAAAAAAAAAATCATCATATTTGATGAAATTTTGAAATAAATTTGGAATTTTTTAAAAGAATTTTATGGAATTTTTAAAGCTCAATATATAGGAAAATGCTATAGATCCCAAATAAATTACCACATAAATTACCCAACCTCTTACGTGGGTGTGAGACCCACACACATGTGATTTGTATGAATCTCATACTTATGTGAGAGATTTGATAATTTATTTGAAATCTCTAGCATAACTCGCGATTTTCTCATTTTGCCCAATTCACTAACCAGATATATATATAATATTTCAAAATTATTTAAACTTTTTATATTTTAAAACACTAATACTCTTTGAATTTTGTTTTAAATATTATCTATACCAAAATAAAGCCACATTTTATTTTGTTTATTTTTAAAAAATATTCACAACAATTGATGAGTTTAAAAATTGTGTCATGTAGAAAATCAATTTAATTGAAATATTTAAATCCTAACAAACATAGATAACTTATATTTATTCCTTTTATTCATAAACTACAAATATTTACACATACATTGTATTTGCACACACAGTTACAACATTTTCAATCCTGCATTGGTATGTGATCAACTCTAATATAATTTTAAAAAGGAAGACAAAAATGCTATTAATCAATCGGTGTACAAAATTTGACAGATTAAAATGTGTGGAAATATATAGAAACATGTTAAATTATTTTAAGAGTGTGTAAGATTTCAATATTTTATGGTACTTTTCTTTATTTTATTTTTTTTATAAATAGTAATGATATTCACATTTGTTCTTTATAAATAGTTACTGAAATATAATATTTTATAATTAATTAATTAATTAATAAATAAAATTATTTGAACCATGTATGCCAACTGTTACCTAGTTATATCATATGGTTTTATTCTTACTGGACTTTTGGGCTTCACCTTAGAATTTGAAAATGAATAAACTTTCCATCTATTCAATTAAAGATTGTGCCATTAATTAAAGATTTATTGCATTGAGAACAATATTTTAAGGTTAAACGAATGTTTAACATTTCAAATGAAAGAATATCAAGATCTAAAATTCACACAATAGGACCGATTAAAAAACAAGAAAACCCCCCCCCAAAAAAAAATAAATAAATAAACAAATAAAAACTCTATATTGCCTGTTATGAACACTATGTTTGGGAACTTAGGAGAAAAAAGAAAAGAAACGATTATTTAAGTTATAAGAGAAAAGAAAAGAAATAATTGTGATTTCTCTCCTTTTTATTTGGATAAGAAATAAATAAAAGAAAAGAAATGATTGTAATTCTCTCATTCTTGTTTGGATAGATTTCATTAAGAAAAAAAAAAGAAATCATTTTATGTTATATTACCAAAATAACCTTTTTATAATTTCAATCATTTTATTTCTTTTATTTTTATAGGGACAAAATTGATATTATGAAAATAATGGTTTCTTTTCTCTCCCAATCTCTCCACCTTTGGGAAGATTGAAAATGAGACTTATAAGATAAATGAGTTTCTCTCAATTTCTTCTCATTTCTCTCCATTTAAATTATTCAAACAAGTAAAAAAAATACATATCTCTCAATTTCTTTTCTTTTCTCCCTAAATCACTCAATCTAAACATAGCGGAAAGAGAGATTTAAAAAATGTGATAACAATGAAAATTCAAGTTGTGCCTCGTGCAACTGAACAGCTTCAGCTGGAACTCAACAGTGGAGATTCTGGAGATTTGCCATGGCGGCGCAGGAAGAGTGAGTGCCCAATCATTTGTTTGGGAAATTGCGAATCCATTTCAAGAAATGAAATGAAGATGCAAATTATTTCTCAAAAAATGTTAGAGGAAATAAAAGACTACTAGAACTCTTCCGCTAATATTTCTAACATTCAAAGAGATTATTCGTCGGCAACAGCACTTGCAGCACTCAAATCCACAGCAAGATCAAGAGCCTAAACCAATCACAAAACAGAAGGATATATATATATATA